TTTTTTTACCTATTTGCATGAGTCTCTGATCTCATGCAATGATCCTTGCCTCTCAGATCTGTGACTCAAAACACACTACCTCCTAGACTCTGCCATCTGATCTTCTGAGGAACAATCTACATCTGCCCCCTTTATCCTGCCATTTGCCTGTTCTATGCTGCCTGCCAACTCTGCCTTATGAGGACTAACACCAAGAGTCTGGAAATCTAGCTTAATCCACCAGTCCTGTGGACCTAGATGACTTGTCCACCTCGTAGCTTATTCCTAGATATTTCTGTTTAAATCATGGCAGATGGTTCATCTTGCTTTAGTACAATTTGAATGATTCAAGCAAAACAGAATATAAAATTCACATCAAAATGTATTTACTGTAACTATCACCCCAGCTTTCCATTATATATTTCTTATGGGCAAGGAGTATATCAAATATTTTTACAATCTGCTAAAGTACGTAAAATAATGCTGGACATTTATTTGGCAACTCAGGAAATATTTGTTGAATCAAAATGAGACTGGGCAAGCAAACACATAAAGCCAAAGCCAATGATCCGGTGGTTCTTCTGGGAGTTAAGCATTTGCTTTTTTTTAAAAAGTACCTTGGCTGGTAACTGGATAGTATCCACAAGTATCTGCCGAACTTCATGTAACCCACCAACCTTATCCCAGCCCAGGTCTCTAGGTTTATGCAGGTTGACATTTCGCAGAGATGCAGGAGTAAATCCTTGAAGAGCCTTTTGGAAATCCAATGTTGTTAAAACTAATTCTGTTTAAAAATAAACAAAACTTCTTTTGGTAGTCATATTTTAATATATGAATTTTCAAAATATGCCATCGTCTTAGCTAAAAATGCTAATTTTGGACTCAAATAACTACTTATTCAAATACTACAATGGAATGTATTTAATTCTTGCCTTACTACAATTACATTTCTCCACAATAAAAAGCAGATTTCAAGTTCAGTTTTTAATAGTAAAACATACCTTCCCTGACGGATATACTCTGATGAGAGAGACAAGAATGTATAGCTCGATCCACAAGCACTGTAAAATCTCTAGCCACAAAGCCTTCAGTTTCTTTAGCTACATGCTGCAGGTCAAGATCAGTGAATTTGTTTATATCACAGTCCAGTTTATTTTTTATTACATTATGCAGAATTTCGTATCTTTGCTCCTAAAGAAAAAACACAAAATTCTAATTTCTGATTTTATACAATTGTACATTTTAGTACATATATTTGGAGAAGAATCAAGTTGACATAATCTATTGCGACACAAGGCAGACTGGTGATTGCCTGGTGATGGAACGGGGGAGGGATGGATTGCGAAAGGGTGCTAGGAAACTGCTGAGAGCGATAGAAATGTTTGTTACCTTAACTGTGGCGATGGTTTCATGGTATAGACATATGTTAAAACTGATCAAATTGTACACTTTAAATAATGTGAGTTTGGTGTATTTCAATTATATCTCAATAAAGTTGTAAAAAAAAATCACACTGATAAATGATTGCTATTTCTTTCTCCAATAAGAAGCATTTCTAGTGATATATGGTTTCTTTAAGAGCAGTTTTTTTGGCTCATATAAAACTTATTTCTAAAAACATATTCAATGACCAACATCACTATCGTTCTGTTATATTTAATAATAGGTATATTACCTTTGTTCTTCAATAAGTTAATTGGCACAGGGTCTGAATATTTAGGGTAGATGCTAGGTGAGAATTTTAAACAAGAATTTTAAATATGCCTGAACATACTTCTTTCAGCTTACTGCCACAAAAACCCTCATGAGCATGAGTCTCCCAAGGGGACTAAGGGCCATATGTGCTGGTGGAAAAAAATGTGTAATCAAATTTTTAAAACACATCTATCTGTATTTCTCACTGCTTTTTCTCATTCAGAAGAAATACTGTTTTCAAAAAAGTAATTTCCTTGGAGAGTACATACTAACATTTCAGCTAGTTGTAAATTATAATTCGTGCCTCTAGCACAATATGTACCAGATGTTAACTTTTAAATATCCTTAAGATCATTAAAAGAAGCATAAGTTTAAAGCCATAAATCATTAATAAAATAAACAAATAATTTCTATAAAAGGGACATATTTCGATACTCTTTATAAGTAATATATTACCTGATTAGGAGGTTGAATATGTTGGACACACTGAAATATGTGAATTCCTTGAGCAGAAACAAGTAAAGGATGTAGAGAATGTTGAGACTGACTTGTGGCAATCAGTGCAACCAAACTTCCCATGGAAATAAACTCTTTCATCATATCGTTTAAAGCTAGAATTAAGCAATATCATGTAAAAGCTCATGAAAAAGAAACATGAAATTTTAAAATTATACATTCATTAAAAATAATGATACCCTAACATTGAGCTTTAGGGTGGAGTATGTATCATATAGCTCCTTCGTGCCTTTAAAAAATTAATCCATCGGCCAGACGCAGTGGCTCATGCCTGTAATCCTAGCTCTCTGGGAGGCCAAGGCAGGCGGATTGTTTGAGCTCAGGAGTTCGAAACCAGTCTAGACAAGAGCGAGACCCCATCTCTACCAAAAATAGAAAGAAATTAATCAGACAACTAAAAATATATAGAAAAAATTAGCTGGGCATGGTGGCGCATGCCTGTAATCCCAGCTACTCGGGAGGCTGAGGCAGAAGGATTGCTTGAGCCCAGGAGTTAGAGGTTGCTGTGAGCTAGGCTGA